GACACTCAGTTTATTTTAGAAAATAAATGGGACAAAATGTATCTAATTTAAGGTTAAACTTTCATCTTCTTTATATTCAGCAAATTATCAGCTATTCAAGCGTAACCATTTATTTTTAAAAATGACAAGCAGACTGCAGTTAATTGCAAAGGTTAATAAAACATTAGGGTGTAGAATTGGTTAGACATATTTTACAAGCAATTCTACCATAATTAGAGCTGTCACATTTATTAAACAGTCAACAGAATTACAAAGGCAAGGGATGGTTATTAAATGTGTTCTCTACTTTCTTTGAAAATTTCAAAAAATAAAAAAGCAAATAAAAAACCCTAAGCATTCAAAAAAAAAATTGCTAAGTGGATCTTTAATAATGATAGCTGTTCCTGTAGAATCAGTTCTGATTCAACTTGAACTGGAAATTAGAGATACAGAGAGGACATGATTCAATCTGAGTTGTCAAGTCAAGTTTTGAGGACAAGCCAATTTGATTAAAACCACTCTGAGATTTATCATTAAACAAAAAAGCTTGCAACTTAGAGGACTGGCACATTTTTTTTCTCTTTTTTTAAAAAAATGATTAGACTTGCCCAGACAAAGTGGGAACACTCTCACAACTTCTTGTCACTTTGCCTGGGCTACCTTTCTCCCCACCCCCAAGTTAGTTGTTATAACTATATATTTAGTTATTATTTAATTTTATTTATGTGGGGATTGTACAAATTCGTCTATCATTTTGCAAGGCTGTGGAAGCACACTGTTTGAAGAACCCTGCCATAAGCTATAGGGGAAATATAAAATATTTCTGCAAATTTTATTTGTTTTTAATAGCAGAGTTGCATGAAAATAGCTGAGGTGATAAATTCTTTGATATCATGGTACTGCTTCACCACAATGAATTTTTGAAATATTTCCCTATATCTATTTTTTTAAAACATAGGACAAAGGATAGTACAGCAACCTCTAAACTGTACAGTAAAGAGCCTTAGTTGTGTCCAACTAAGTTTGATAAGGTGGTAGGTTAGGTACAGTACATTAGCAGAGCTTCACCTATTCTAGCAGAATTCAGAAGAATTACCACTAACTTGGCCTTACAGAGTAGTACAGTTTTGTGATCTTTGACTTCTGGGTTTTTCTGTGATACCTGGAAAGTTGCCAAAGTTGCTTAGCAAGCTTTGCTTCTTCCTGGGGGGAAAAATCTCACCACTGATCTAACCCTTGTGATACCCTGTGTTATTTATTCATTAGAAAGGGCAAAAGAACATGGCACAAAGATAGGAAGCCACACAAAAAATGAAAGAGCATGGCTCAGAGAAGATAGCTTTTATAGCCTTGCATCCCCTTTTCTGAGTAGTAAATGTCTGCAGGTGAACCTTTAAATATTAGTTTGGCCCAATTTTCTCATTGTTGAGAAACTTAAACTAACCCAAACATGAAGAAGTTAAAAGCAAGGTTGGGTCTAAAAAGGCATACTGATTTGACCCAGGAGTGCTTGTTGGACCTTGAACCCATACTGAGACTGCTGAAAGCTGGATAAAACTCCCAGGCATGTTGTCAGGACTAGCAAAGAAATGTGTCATTATATTATCGTAAGAGACAGCAAAGTTGAGAAGGGAGAAAATGCATGAAGGTCCAACAAACACTCCTGGATCAAATTTTGCCTCCATAAAAGAGCCCTCTTAAGTCCAGAATTTAAAGAGGTGATAAAAATGATCAGCCAGTTATTCATGTTAATGTCAGTGAGCCTATCTCCACTCAAGCAGCCCCCAAAATTTCTCCATATACGGAAATGAATTTGCAACTTCACAGATTGTTGCTCACAACTAAAAAACAACAGCCATCAAATTTTCAGAGCCTTTCTAAGGGCTTTTGAAGTAATGTGTTCTGAGTTAACATTTTATTTTAAAGCGAATCTCCATTTCAATTCATGAATTTGTTTCAGTGAGGTGACCTGACCAAAGATCTGTCAACCTAAAGCATCCCTTTGAAATGAAACAGCCCTGTTTATGATGCTTCTTAGAAATTATAGGGAAAAAGCAGCAAAATATTGCAGCATCTGATCAGAAAATCTAGCCTAGAACAGAAGCTTTTTATACATATGTTATGTAGAACACAATTTTAATTAACTTTTTCTTTCTTAAATCTCTGTATAAAACAATGTGTTCCATTAAATTCTCATACAAATATAATTGCTTCTCAGTGCCATAAAAAGAGCATATTGATCTCTCACTCTGCTTATATTAGGTAACAATGCTGATATATAGACCATCTCAGACATTCAATATCTGCCTTAAAGCTTAAAAGATGTCATCAAATCGGTAGCATTAATCAACTGAAGTAAACCTGTTTTTTTTTTTAATATTTTTTTATTTTTACAACAAACACAAAACATACATGAACAAACA